CCAACAACCCACTGACGCCCCACCAACAACCCACTGATAATATCAACTATTTTTCTAGATCTCTGGTTGCCACTAACGACCACCTGCTGGCTGAATTAGATGAAACTCGGCAGCGTCATGCAAGTGAAGTGCACCAGATGCACTGGAGTTATGACAAACTAAAGAACACTATGGACTGGCTGCCAAATGGCACAAGATAAAAAATATTTATAAGAAAAATAATGGTTATTATTATCATATAGTGTGGTATTTGTCATTATACAGTGTTCCAGGTAATTAGAAATCTCATTTGTAATGTCTTGTGTGATAACAATCTATGTATTTAACTATAATATGATATATTTTTCATACTAGCATCCAGCTGAGCAGTGAATTTTGTTTTAGCCAATCACAGTGCATTTAGCTTTTTTTGCCGCCGGCCCTTATTCCCAGACTACTGTAACCTAACTTTTGCGTCTTTTTTTTGACTAAAATATGATGTACATGCTTACAAGAACCAGAAGTATGGGAAGGAAGAATAAAAACAATTTCACTTTAATGCCAGGTTTGCTTGTAATCATTCTTTTTAGCTTAGGGCTTGTCATTTTGTCCAATCATGCTTTGTGCGCAGCATTCACTGCTCAGCTGGATAGTTGAGATGGACAAAGTTAGTCATATCTATACTTTTTAAACAAAACTCTAATTTCCATAACAAGAGTTTATATATTTTCTATTATCACTCTTCTGTTATAATTTATGCAGGTACCGCAGAGCGTAATTTTGATTGTGGCTAGCAATGGCCAAAGGCAGGGGCATCTACCGTAGGGGGGTTTGAAAATTTTGAAGTTGAGACCCTTGAAAATGCAATTTCGAGTGTAATTTGACATAGCAGCAAAATTGTAGCCCCCATAGCACTGTGGTATAAATTCCAGAATATATCCAAAACCACTTCTACAAAAAATAAAAGAGGTTCCTTGATTTTTTGTCCCCAGTATTTCATTAGGTGTACACATTAACAAATATTTTCATTTGTTAAGTAAATTATATATATATATATACACACAGTGTTTCACATATTTATTAGCAGCATGTAAAGTGCAGTGTTCAAATTATACACATTAGATATTAATTGTTATTTTTCTATGGTTGATGAAAACTTGATTTTATTAAATTTAATGTATATATGTATTGAAGTAAAAGACCTCAGTTTATGTATGAGTAGGTGAGTTTTGCTAATAAATTATTTCAATTAATTGTCAAACTAAAAGTTGTGTAATAAGTCAAATTTATGTCAATTCGTATGAGGATGACTGACCGCTAATAAATAAAATAAAAATAAATTGACTTTATTTAACGAGGATGACATACATTACTGGTTGCCCAGTAGTTTTCATTAATGGTTATCCATAGCAAAGTTGAAACTGGAGCATTTAAAAGCATAAAGGGCTGATAGAAATGTCGAATTCATACTAACTACTAGTAAATGTATAGTTAGTAACTAATAGCTAACTGGTAATGTCCAGGAAATCAAGGGTGGTATAGCGGTAGTGCACTCATCTGTCAGTTCTCTCTGGGTCTTGGGTCCAATTTCTGGACTCAGGTCACATGTGAGCAGAGTTTTTAGGGGGATGGGGAATCATTAAGAACATCAGGTGAAAGAGGCGGCCACACAAGAATTTGAGATGCATAGCAATCTTATAATAAACAGAATGGAAAACAAGGGAGGGGTCATTTTTTATTCCACAACAAAGAGCAGGGGGTCAGATTTATTGTATGGGTAACCAAGTGAATCCTACCACCCCACCCCCTCCCCCCAATGAAAATGAAGGGTCCATTAACCATGAAACATTACAGGTTAAGTCCTTTCATTATAGAGTGCAAACCATTAATCCATGAAACACTAATTACTAAATAGTACAAAATAGTGCTARTTAAACAATAGAAAACAATGGAATTTGCATGAAATTGTGCTATTTAGTATTACTAAAGTTTCATGGTTATAGAGTGACAACAGTAAATCCGTGAAACTTTAGTAATACTAAATAGCACAATTTCATGCAAATTCCATTGTTTTCTATTGTTTAATTAGCACTATTTTGTACTATTTAGTAATTAGTGTTTCACAGATTAATTGTTTGCACTCTATCGTTTGCACTCTATGAAGAACAAATAAAATACCAGTAACACAAATATATTATCATCTGCATTCATTTTATTTAACATCTTATTACAACCTTTAATTAAACTTCAAAACCATCAAAAGGAATACAAGTTGATATAATATGGTAGCCAGTGACATTATAATATGTAGAAGATATAAATATGCCAAGTTAAAATCCATGTAGTGCAAATCTTTCTGACAATCTGGATGATCTTACCAAAAAACTACACTCAGTACCCTTTATTTACTATAAAGTTTAAAAATTTATGAAGTTGTTTACAAAGTTACCAGTAAGTTTAAAAACATTTTAGGTACATACTTTATTACTAATGAGATTTAACTTTGGAAACCCCTTTTTTTATTGTTAGATGTATAAACGACTTTTGAAAGGGTGAAAAAGCTTGAAAAGTTTATGAAACGTGTCTTAAAATGTATATGGTTTGTACGATTATAAAATGTGTTTTAAAGTGTATATGGGTTTGTACGATTATCAAATGTGTTTTAAAGTGTATATGGGTTTGTACGTTTTCAAACAAGGGCTATGTGGGGATCATATTGTGAAAGGGTTGTAAACATGAATGAGTATACATCAGTCAAATAGACTGTAAACTTAGTGATTACAGGAATAAGCTATCAAACCAGTTCTTGAATATATATACTATTTTTCTAATTTTTTTTATCATAGGTGTCTTTTCCTTTGTAGCCACCAACATATCCCTCAGCAGCCTTGTCATCGCGGTCGACACGCCCCTCAATACCCTTCCCCTTTCCTGACTCATCAAAGCGTTCTTTGTGAGAACCAGTGTACTTGCTGGTGTCAGTGAGTCTGTCCACTCCTCCCACTTTTGCTACTTTCTGTATGGATTGATGACAAAATAAAATGATCAAATATTGGTACTTGAGGGGGAAAAACATTATTACAGCTATTAAAAAAAGAATTGCCCAAAATAGAATGCAGAATTGCTAAGCATAGAATGTACACAGCATCCTTAAAAAAAGGTTTCGCATGCATAGAGTGGTGAATTAGGGAAAAAGACAGTACACATATATAGCTTCCTCTTCAGAACTTGCATTTACCCCTTACAAAGTGGGGTAGCTATGCCAGCTGCCCAACCTGATTCTCTGAAACTGTCCTTGAGATGTAGTCTATACTATAGGATGTTATTTTAATTTGCTCAACTTTGATTTGTAATTAATCAATTGAATAAAGAGTTATTATATGTTATACAATATACCATGATTGATGTCCCCTAAGACTTGGTGACAAAGGCAAATTGCATAATTATTCTGTGGGTGTTACTAAGAACTGACATAATGCTGATAGTCATGGGAAAGACTACAGGGAAGAAGGGTGCTCTGTGGTCTTTAAGTCAGTATTTGACAGCATGCAGCCAAATGAAATAAATAAGATTATATGTCAAAAGAACTGAAGTCCTATCAGAACTTTGTAATATATATTGATAAATAAATATAGATTCACCTAACCATTCATAAAATACTATGAGGCCTTTTTGTGTTTGAATGCACAACCATTATTTTCTTTAACAATGAATACATTTTTGATGTTTTTTAACAGCGTAATTGTAGTAAAAAGAAAGGGTTTTGCAGCTCAGCTTAGCAGAAACAAGATGCATATAATCTTGATCTATAATCTGAATATATCACCCCACTTTTGACAACAAAGGAATGTTACCACAGCAACGGTGGGCCGACGCCTCAAACACAGAAACACTTGAATGGTTTTCTCTGAATTTGTCTAAAACACCTTGTTCGAATAAAGCGAACTGTTTTACCGCAAAAGTAATAATGTTTTGGACATTTATTGTGTACGAATTTTGCTTAAAGATTAGCTCAGAATTCATGAATTCGAGCTAGGTACAGATAAAAAGTGACTACGTTCCTGACTCTCGTTTGTCGACTTGTTTATCAAGGTATGAGGTTCAGTTCCAATGAGAAAACAAAGCTCCTTTAGTAAAACAAGTGGAACTAACTTTGCCAAAACACACATGAAGCTTAGAAAGACTCAATCAACAAAGCGATAGCTACAAATCAGCGATAAAAACACCTTGTGTGAAACTGAAGTTTCAGAAGTTTAAACCTCGCTTTTTTTCGATCGAAGAAAAAAGGAAAACATGTGCATGCTTACCGTAGCTCCAACAGCAGCAGGGCCTTTCCCTGCGCAGATCTTCTCGATAAGCTTGCCTACATCACTCTTATTTCCATACTTCTTCTCGGCACAGAGCTCCAGAGCTTTCTTAAACTGATCGAAGTTGATTTTTCGTTCGCTTTTACTGCAAAATGAAAACACCTCTTGTCAACGGGAAATAAAAATAGCATTCATAGTAATGCAAGCTTCAAGACAAAAATGATCGTGTTTGACTTACGCTTTCACTTCTGGTCGACTGAAGATAATGTCAGTGTCGGTTGAGGTAAACTTCTTGTCGTATAATTTCAAATCTCGGAATAATTTCCCAAACTTCGCGTTATCCATTAATGGCTGAGCGTCTTTTCCACCGCCAAAGGCACAAAAAGACTTGAAAACTGTTTGGAGCGCGGCGTCAGACATGGCGATCGTGAATTGAAAAGAAAGAGAGAAACCACGAGAACTGAAAAACTTTTGTTCTTCACAAGATGAAAGCTGTTCAGAAAACCAGGTATATATATATATAAGCGTTACTGCCCACACACTTGTTTTTCTCGCTTCTGATTGGCTGGTTACTTTTCTTGCGTGACTTGGGGCCAAAACCAACAAAACCTTCGCGTCCAGAAATCATATCCAAAATGTTCCTCAAATTAAACACGATTTTAAATATCTGGACAGTTTCATGAATCAGAGGCACTTGAAATAAATAGTTAAGTTAAAGAGAATAGTTTAATTCTTTTTCGTACATGTCTTAGAATGATAAGGATTTCACATAAGCGTCATATATTACTATGGTTTGCCAGTTATGTTGGCTAAAGTTACCCTATTTACATAAGCTAATTCCTACATCCAAAATGGATTCAAAAATTGCTACTTCTGAGCCAAAATATTGACATTTTGCAAGCAATATTGAAAAATAGACTCCAAGCAAATGGTTAGCAGTTTATTTAGGTATTTTAGTGTTCCCAAAGATCACTCATTAAAAATTTATACCACATAAAAAAATGCAGTGATGTTTTTTCTTCTGGAGTTTGTCTTCTGCAAGTAATAATATAATAATAGCAGTTTATTTAGGTCCTTTAATGCTCCCAAAGATCATTCATTTAAAAGTTTTACCATATGAAAAAACGTAGTGACCTTTTTTTTCAGGAGTTTGAGTTCTGCAACAGTGATGTAATAATAAACAAAGCTGTAGATAGGGCTTCGGGCTTTTCTTACCAAATAAATAGATTTATTTTTTCTCCTTCAGTAACAGAGAAATATTGTTTGTATGTCATAAAATGAACACTTAGTTTGTACATTTGAAAAAGAAGACCGCGCTAAAGGTCGATAAACATCTCTGCCACGCCTCTGACCAAAGAAGAATCTGGAAGAGTCATTCCAGTAACAAACAATGAAAAACGTAGAGAAAATAAAGCACTCAAAGATTAACCTGGCTTATATTCTTGTATCCTTGTGTACACAGAAAAAAATGTTTATTTTGTAACAAAGTATTTTATTCGAAAGAAATTATCAAATACCTAGTAGATTTACATAACCCAGAATGAAAATGAGACTGATGAGACTAGATAGCCCTATGACCCGTGAAAATACTAGAACTCGTACGTGCAGATATGATTAAATATATATTCCAATCTTTTTTCAGATTCCTTACACCCTCCCCACCCTAACGCCTCCTCCAGTACATAAATTTTTGTCACCCTCCCGTCCCTAAAACAAAATCAAAAATTCAGTCAGCGGTGTTTCCATACAAAATCCAAGATGGCGGCCATTCAACAGAGAAAAGTCCAAGAAGGACTACAGTTTATGAGGGAGGCCGAAAAAAGGTGAGTTTTAAAGCGATTGATTCAAAAAGCAATAAACTAATAAATCAATACTCCATAATGATCACCCTCACCCTCGCGTGATAGAGATTAGGGATATTTTGGACAATGAAAACATCAACTCATCATTTCCTCTTCGTCAAGCTCTTTTGAACTTACAAAGATTTTCGTACTTAGCTCCTTTTCTCATCGACGAAACTTCATAATATATGATCATTTCACAAATATCTTAATTGAACTGATTGTGAATGGTCTTGATTTGTACCCGCTTTCAAAAATTCGCCGAAATTTATTGAAGGATATCTCATAAATATAACAATAACATGGTGAAAGTAGAATTTTCGTTTTGTAATATCCAGGGTGATATAAATCTCAGTACATCAAGACTGACTCTGGCTTATTGTTTGTTTTGATTCAGCATGAAAACAAGCTGGTTAAAGTGGAAACCTGATCTGGATAGTGCTGCAGACAGATACATGAAGGCTGGTAGGTATAGCTAATTCCCCCTCTCTCCCCTCCCCAGGGACACCGTTAGACATTAAAGCCACCAAAACAACATTTTAAGCTGCTCAGAATTATGGGGATTTTAATTTTAGTTTTGTCTATGATATCGATGAATCACATGATATTTTTTTGCATCATATAGATATATTTTTCATAAGAGGAATTTTTAAATGTTTAAATAAAATTTCTGATATATGCAAAGGTCTTGAGCGTTTAACTCATAAAAAACAAAATTAACCTACATATAGGTTGGTTTTGATTCATCGTTAATATAACTGCAAACCAGAATTTATCTATTGAACAAGTATAGTGATAAAACCTATTGTTAAAATGGCTGGCACATTTAAAACATCACAACCGCAATGTCTAGAAACATTATGTACAGTTATATGAATCAGTTCAACTTGCAAATTTTATTAAATACACTGAAACAACCCATTGGCTGATGTAAGGACAGGGCATGGCTAACTCACAGATTGAACCCTAAAACAACCTCTTGGCTGCTCTAAGTCAAGGCACAGCTAACTCACAGATTGAACCCTAAAACAACCTCTTGGCTGCTCTAAGTCAAGGCACAGCTAACTCACAGATTAAATTTGAGAGATCCAGGATCCAGAGATCTTAAAAACTCTGCTCACATGTACATAATGTAGAGTGCATGAATCAAAGACCCAAGGGGTGAGAAGCAAGTGGACTACTGCTCAAGAGTTTCATGAAAATGTCTTTGTATTTGAACATTTTTAGGAAATAGTTTCAAAGCTGGTCGTTCATATCCAGAGGCTGAAGATGCTTTCAAGAAAGCTGCAGAGGCATACTACAACAACAATTCGTATCTTTTGTCTGTTGAATGATGTTGAATGACTAGTTTGTCATTCTTTAGTTACCAAGTTTAGAACCATAAAGTCTAGTACTTAATATTATCAAAGTTGATACAATCAAAGTCACTATACTAGTGCAATTATCTGGGGTATTATGTTGATATAATATCTATAATAGAAATTTTTTTCCTTAACTACTTTTTTTCACTTTTAAACAAGATTTTTCCATTCTGCCAAGTAAGTTTTACTCCAAAGTTTATCACTATAAAACCTCCCCAGTTGTAGTGTTACTTTCAGTATACATATTTAATTAAGACATTTTAAGAAAAAAAACTTTGAGCTTACCATATCTTACTGGTTCAAGGTATTCCAGAGAATTCTATGGCTTCTGAATTCAAAAGAACCATCTTTGCACTTCTCTGTGCTTTCTTGAAGAAGCTGCCATTTTGAATACCACAGGGATACCAAGTCTTAAAATATTAAACACAGGAGTCCCAAAAATCTAAAATTAGATTGAAGTAATACTGTGGTTTGAAGTTCTACAAGTTTTACTCAATTTGTACTTTCAGAAAATAATCATAACTCTCACATAGCAGTGGATTAGAATCACTTTAAACTACTAGGACCTTGTTATTGTTACTGCTCATTTTTTACAAAATGCTAGAGAGTCTGGGGAAACCCTCATTTTGGTAGTTTACTTTAACCAATCATTGAATGAAATCCAAGTTCAAAATTCTATGATTTTCCAGAGTCTTTAATATTAATTATAAATAGATATTAATAATATATTGTCTGATCTACAGAGCATTAGAACAAGCAGCATCTGTACTCAAAGAAATGAAAAGAATATCTGAAGCTGTAGAACTGATAGAGAGAGCAGGGTAAGTCAAGGGCTGCTGGAGAAATGAGATGAGGAGAGATGACACTTGCGTGCTATACAATAATGGGAAGGAAAGGGAAAAACAGAGAAGGATGAGAGGAAGTGGCTTAGTGTTATATTTTAAAGAAAATTCTTTTAGCATGAAGGTTTTGTAAGTACAAGCTTGAAAGTGCTTTGCAAAATTATCTGGTGGAAAAATAAGTTATTTACCATCCTAAAGTTGGTCTGGATAGGGAAAGACAGTGCCCTTGGTCTTGAAAATTGACAGCCTCTGATTATATATTCAAGATCTCAAGCACACTTTTTCTCTGTCCATACTTCCTGGCCAATAAATAACCTCTATTGATCCGCACAGAAGAGTAACAAAGACTATTATGTATTCCCATGTCTTAGGATGCAATACAGAGAGAGTGGATCCCCAGATACAGCTGCTATGTGTCTCATCAGAGGAGGAAAGTAAGTTAGTTGATGATAAATAGAGTACTAAGTATGATGTCATTAGATTAAAAATTGATGAATTTGGTTTGAAATGTTAATATCTGGAGAAAGCACATTGCCTTATTATCCAAGATGATTATAGATAAATTGGGAATGTAAGCTTCAAATTTCCCCAGTATACCTTATTTGTTGTAGTGTAATGTTTTCCCATTACATATCATGTGTCATTCCCTTGACACTAGCTTTTCTGTTTAAGCTGTATCCCACATGCAACATTAAACAAAGAAAGATACTCTTGAGATAATGACACGTGGTCTGTAATGGGAAAACATTGCACCACAAGGAATAAAGGTATACTGTATGTTGTTGTTGGTAGAGCTTGGTTTGATATTTAAAATGTTCTTATTTTTTCGTTCAGGATGTGTGAAGGAATGGAAGCTAGCAAGGCCATAAACATGTTTTTATCTGCTGGGGATCTCAATGTGGTGAGAATGACCTTTCCAAATCATTGTCAGAATACAGAAAACCTACTCAATTTACTATATAAGAAAGAAATGAAGGAAGGAAGGAAGGAAAGCAAAGCAAAGCAAAGCAAAGCAAAGCAAAGCAAAGCAAAGCAAAGCAAAGCAAGAAACACTCTAAATTAATTCCAATTTAATCTGTGATTTAGCCCTGCCTTTACTTTGATTAGCCTAGAGCTAAGGATTTGAGAAAGATTATATTGTTGATGCAAATGAATATGTTAAAATGATTTACTCTTTTTGATCACTTTCCAAATATCTACAGGGAGAAGATAAGATAAGAGAAGGAATAGAGCCAATGGTACATGCTGTTAGGCTACTACTCAAAACAAAAAGGTATGCTCTAGCATAATGTTTACAATAAGCTATGTTCAAGGTATCAAAATTCTAGCATGATACCAAGGCTCTCCAGAATAAAGTATTCAAAATTGCATTAAACATCAAAATTATATTTTGCTCACTTAGAGCTGACTGTTGTAACTTTGTCTTTTAGGTATGAGGAAGCCATTGGAGTTAAGAAGAAAATTCTAGAGTTATACGGCAGTATAGAGAACTTTGCCATGATGTACAAGACAGTGTTAGGTCTGGTGGTGGTGTACCTTCATGAGAGCGATTATGTTGCTGCTGATAAATGTTACAAAGATTCCTTCAGGTAATCAAGATAATATTAGAGTGACCACAGTAAATCCGTGAAACTTTAGTAACACCAAATAGCACAATTTCATGCAAATTCCATTGTTTTCTATTGATTAATTAGCACTATTTTGTACTATTTAGTAATAAGTGTTTCAAGGATTTACTGTGGTCACTCTACTAACAAAGTTTTGCCACTTTTGAAACATTTAAGGAAACATGTTTCCTCGTTTAGCCAGAGCATAAATGGAAAATGGCATTTGGAATGCCAAAGTAACATATCTTTTTTCACTCCACATACAGTATTCCAGGGTTTGGCAGCTCAGAAGAAGCTGAAGCAGCAGAAAGAATATTGCAATATTTTGATGAGGGTGATGCTGATGGACTGAAGTCCTGCACATCTCAACCTTTATTTACATACTTGGACAATGAGGTATGTCATTCTTAATTTCTTTTTTTTTTAGAAATAAATGATGGGACAAGCAAGTTGAATCTATGTCAGTCAAAAAACTGTTTAATTTAATTAATCATTCATACTCTTCCTTCTTTCATCAGATCGCAAAACTAGCCCGTTCCCTGAGAGTTCCAGGAGATTTTCCAGAAAACCCATCAAAACCAAATAAACCTAAAAATGAATTGTTTGACAAACCAAAGAGTGTTGAAAAAGATTATAGCAATAAAGATGAGGATGAAGAAGAAGATGAAGATGATGATGATGAACAGTTGGACACAGAATTAGAAAAGACAGAAGAATCTGCTAAAGCATTAACGAATCCTGATGAGGAAGATGAATTTGCTGGTGGTTTATGCTGATAAAGGATAACGAAATTAAATGTTAGATGTTACTGTGTGCTTTATGACCAGGCAAAGTTCTTATGTCAACCAACACTTGGCTAAATGATCATATATGTTGACCTTTTACCAACTGTTTGCTATCGGTCGAGTGTCTGTTGGGCAATGATCAGCCAACAGTCAACTTAGGCTGCGTTCATAATGTTTGGCAGAGGGGAGTGGTGGGGGGGGGGGGGGGGGGGGGGAATACTTTATCGTATTTATTAGTTATTATATTCTAT